GTGATGACGGCGATGACGACGACGACAATGGCGACATCGAAAACAACGACAACAACTATGCTCACCGACAATGTCTAAGGTCAGAAACACTAAGACTATACCAAACTTGGCTAAACAACAACAAAAACCTCCCCGTAACCGGAGCGAATTGTTGCAAGCCAAATTCTCTGTCTGCCTCTCTGCCCCTCTCTCTTAATCTTTGTTTGTCCTCTGTACAAGGTGAAAGGAGAAGGGGATAGTAGGGGAGAGAGAGAAAAGACACCATCAGGCATCATCATAATCGTCATCATCATCATCATCATCATCATCATCATCACCATCGGCAGCAACAGCAACAGCAACAGCAACAGCAACAGCAACAGCAACAGCAACGACAACGGCAACGGCAACGGCAATGGGGATGGCAACAGCAACAGCAGCAACAACAGCACCAACAACAAGCAATAACGGCAATAGCGTAAAAAACAAAACAAAAAAATGGTGTGTTTACAAAACAAAGGAGAATTTGAATTCGTGACACATTGCCTTCTGTTGCAGCATAAAATTTATCATTTTTTTTTCTCCTTCATAATTTTTCTTTCGTCTTTTCTTTTCCAAAAATTGTTTCTGTAGAAAACAGGAAAAAAATTTCTTAACTTTTTTTTTTTTCCTTAGTATAGATCATGCTCCTGTTGTTGTTGTTGTTGTTGTGGTTGTTGTTGTTGTTACAGATTCTGCAACTTTCCTGTTGCAGTGGTTGCTGAATTGAAAAAAGACTTTAACTGAATTGAATTAACTGCAACTGAAACTGAACTGAAACTAGTCAGTTTATGACTGAAGTAAATTGTTTTTCGATATTCTAATCCTTATAAATGAAAAAAGCTCTTACTTCCCTAACCTCCTTTTTCGCTGTACAGCAAACTTTTTCCATCTTAATAATATAAAAATTTTTTGGTTTCCTTTGAACACTCTAAACGTTGGCCATCCAGTATAAGAAGAGTAAAAATTATAGTAACTACATAATAAATATTATATACTAAGTATAATATCATACTATATGATATTGCATATAACACTTATGTATCGTATTGATATTATACTGTAAAATAAATTAGGAGACTGTATTATTATCACTTAAAATTTTATAATTTGAACAGCAAAATGAGTTTTCCTCTTTTTAGCCGAAACTGAAAGAATGAGATGTGAAAAAATGTATATAAGGTGAAATTTTTTATTAAAAAAAAAAAA